GTCAAAGAGCGTCTCTTTGTTCTGCACGGGCTTTTATTCTGAAAGGATCATTTACATACAAAAGGAGAATTCCCAAACACTGGAATTCCTGCCAACATTCCCAGCTCCTTACAACCAGAACCTGGGTCTACCAGAACCCAGAGTGACCAGAACCCAGAGTTACCAGAACCCGGTTCTGTCGGACCCGGACTGCAGCCGCTGGATGCTCGGTCAGCTCTGTCCAGGTTTCTCGCTGACTCAGGCCTCTGTCTGTCTGTGAGAACTATGTGGTTTTTTATTTCCCATCATGCACTGCAGCAGCCTGGAGAAAACTCTCACTGAACGTCTCTGTTTCGCATGTTTACTGGAAGCCGACCCTGTTTGGACCTGCTGCAGGTGGTTGCTGAGCGGAGCCGGAACCGCCATCATGAAAACGGGTCAGAGCCCAGGAACGGTCCGGCCAGACCGATGGGCCACGAGGCCTGCTAGCCGACACGCAGACCTGCATGTTCAGGCAACTGCTGCATTTCCTGACATCACAACCTTCACAGGTCAGTCTGTGAAGGTCCAATCACAAGAACCTGCTTCAGTCCAAATACACTGAAGACTACACAGCGTTAGCATGCTAACACAATCCTAACATCAGTGGAACATGCTAACATTAACACGTCTAGTTCACTAAAAGAATAACAACAAACCAGAACCAGAACCAGAACCAGTCCTGAATTAGCCAAAGAAAATAGCCAACAACACAGTTAGCATATTGACAAAGTATGGAAACGTTAGCACACACAAAAGAAAGTAGCATGCTAACATTGGCGTACTAATTTTAAGATGAAACGATCCTTGATGACAGTTAGCTGCAGCTAACTGCAGCTAACTGTAGCTAACTGTAGCTAACTGTAGCTAACTGCAGCTAACTGCAGCTAGCCATCCATGGATTCAACATCCGTTATAGACTGACGTGTGCTGAGTTTGTGACCATGCGCTCAATGGCCAGTGATGAAACACAACTATAATGATTGATGTTTTTTTTTACATTTTCAGAATGTCAACACAGTCTGCAGACTCCCACCTTGTTATGGAAACTCATATGGATCCAACACATTTAAGAGCCTCCTGATTACAGCCTGCAGTTTCCCTCAGGAAACACAAACATCGTTTCATGACTCATTCTAGGAGTTTAGGTCATCCAGAGCGACCTCTGTAGTTATGCTGCTACAGGCTCCGACAGCTGCAGGACAAACTGACCACTTTTTCATAGAAACGCCATGAACAGTCAACTGTTCAGCAGAGAAGTCAGTAAGGCCCAAACAATCCCAGAATGCAATGCAGTGTGCCATTTTCCTGGTGAAAGTATGAAAACAATGTTAATGTTAGTTGGAAAGGATAACACATGTAGCGTGTAACTAATATAGACAAGAAAGAAAGTCCACACAGTCGGCTAATGTTAGCATGAAGAGCTAGCATGCTATCACTAGCATGAAAAGCTCTGGAAATACTAGAATGTTGAACGAATCCACCAGGAATCCAGAGAGCTGCAGCTGTCCACTACAGAAAACCAGCAGAAAGTCTGGAAAACCAGTATGGAGGACCAGTCTGGAGGACCAGTAAAGAGGACCAGTCTGGAGGACCAGTATGGAGGACCAGTATGGAGGACCAGTCTGGAGGACCAGTAAAGAGGACCAGTCTGGAGGACCAGTATGGAGGACCAGTCTGGAGGACCAGTAAGGAGGACCAGTCAGTTTTTAGTCCTACAGCAGGAACTGAAAACTGTCCAACTTCCTGTCCAATTAAAAGTCTCCAGCTGCTCCGCGGGAGCCATCTTGGGCTCCTTCCTGTTTAGTGACGAAACATTTCTGAGCAGCTGCTCCACAGAGCTTCGTGCCTCCACAGACAGAGCTAACAGAAGCTGTAATCTGGGTTCTTTCTGCCGGAACCGGACCGATCCGGACCTGCAGTGAGAGACGCTCGGATCGTTTCGAGGTTGCAGAGACACGTGAAACCTCCGACCGCTCTTCTCACATGGCGGCGTATCAGAGCAAATCAGACTCCCAAACCCGCCACGAACCAACGTTCCTCCTGAAGGAACATCATCCTCAGACTGAAACATCCTGGATCCGGGGTCAGAGGTCAACCAGAGGAGGAGTGGAAGCTGGAGTTTTGTGAAGCTCTTCAGCGTCTGATCTGTCTGAACTCGATGATTTCTGCTGTTTGCAGCCTGCAGAGCGTGACGGGCGAACAATGAGCTGATTTAAAGGGACGGTGCGTTCTGGCAGGTAAACAGCAGTGAGGTGCAGACAAGCAGCTGCAGGAACACCTTCTGCCAACCTAAACGACAACGTCCCACACTAACTGGGACGTGTGTCCAACCTGAAAGAGGTGAAGCTGTATGAAGGTCAAAGGTCAGGATGGAACCAGTAGTTCCTGTGTGGCAGAGGGGGTCTGGTACGTCCCCCAGTGGCGCACTGGTCTCTGTGGAGGGAGTTACTGGGGGGATCCAGGTGGGCTCAGTCCGCTGGGCTGTGGTTGGTCCATCTGCACAGGTGGTGGACCGTCCACCGTCAAACCAGGTCTTCCGTCTGTCATCGATCAAATCCGTCAGACGCCGTGTTTAACTTTGACCTTGTCCACCAAAATCTGTTCACAGTGTGGAAAAATGAACGATCCAAGAGGAAACGCCGATGAGAAACAAACTCCAGAGACGGTAACGTCTGTTTCCAATCTGGAAACATCCAATAATGAAGAGAAAGTTGTTGAGTTTTTTTCCTGTTTTATGTGAATTTAAAACTTTTTGAACAATTAATGATGGTTTTGTTGTAGCTATTATTGATTCTGTCAGATTTCTAGAATAGAATAGAAATTTATTCACAAAGGTGAAATTTTGGTTCCCTACAGCAAAGTGACAGGAAGTCAAAGCAAGTAGAGTCACACAAAGACAGAAGTCTCCATGTGGAGACATGGAGAGACATGGAGAGACATGTGGAGACATGGAGAGACATGTGGAGACATGGAGAGACATGTGGAGACATGGAGAGACTTGTGGACATGGAGAGACATGGAGAGACATGTGGAGACATGGAGAGACATGTGGAGACATGGAGAGACATGTGGAGACATGGAGAGACATGGAGAGACATGTGGAGACATGGAGAGACATGTGGAGACATGGAGAGACTTGTGGAGACATGGAGATACATGTGGAGACATGGAGAGACATGTGGAGACATGGAGAGACTTGTGGAGACATGGAGAGACATGTGGAGACATGGAGAGACATGGGGAGACATGGAGAGACATGTGGAGACATGGAGAGACATGTGGAGACATGGAGATACATGTGGAGACATGGAGAGACATGGAGAGACATGGAGAGACATGTGGAGACATGGAGAGACATGTGGAGACATGGAGATACATGTGGAGACATGGAGACGTGGAGAGACATGTGGAGACATGTGGAGACATGGAGAGACTTGTGGAGACATGGAGAGACATGTGGAGACATGGGGAGACATGGAGAGACATGTGGAGACATGGAGAGACATGTGGAGACATGGAGAGACATGTGGAGACATGGAGAGACGTGGAGAGACATGTGGAGACATGGAGAGACATGGAGAGACATGGGGAGACATGGAGAGACATGTGGAGACATGGAGAGACATGTGGAGACATGGAGATACATGTGGAGACATGGAGAGACGTGGAGAGACATGTGGAGACATGGAGAGACATGTGGAGACATGGAGAGACATGTGGAGACATGGAGAGACGTGGAGAGACATGTGGAGACATGGAGATACATGTGGAGACATGGAGATACATGTGGAGACATGGAGATACATGTGGAGACATGGAGAGACGTGGAGAGACATGTGGAGACATGGAGAGACGTTTCGGGTGTCAGCTGCTGGATCTCCTCCAGCGCTGCTTTGTGCACACAGGATGCAGAAGTTATTGAAAAGCAGTTTACAATAAAATGATTTCCAGGCAGATAAAATCACCACAGTATCATCTGCATACTGCGAGACATTCAACAGAAAATGTCATTCAGAAGAAATGATCTGCTATTTTCTGCCTTCAGAGGGAATCATGCAGAACATGGACAGATTGTGAAGGTCCAAACCTCTGCGGCCCGGTTTGGTTCTACGAGCCGAGGATGTTTGTTGGGTTCAACAAGGTAAACAGGAAGAGAGGAGAACCAATCAGCAGAGCTGATGTTTCACAAACAGCTAAACACGAAGCAGCTTCATTCTCCTACCGGACTCTGGTTCCGACTCGTCTCTCAGAACCCGGCTGATCCGGCGGGACAGCGTCGTGATGAAGCTGCTGATGGACGGCGCTCTGCGCTCGGCGTCTGATCCGGCTTTCCTGAGCGGCGTTCTGTCCGAGCCGCCGGCGGCACCAGGTTCTGACATGGACCGGAAGAAGGGAATGATCCGGCGCAGGGATCCATGCTTGTCCGGATCCTGGTTCTGGTTCCGACGCCGGGGCAAAGTGCTGGTTTTGAGCAGGCCGAACAGCTGAGGGCGCTCCTGGTTCTGGTCTTCAGATGTTCTCCACTGGTATCGGTCCAATGGCTGCTCAGAACCGAGCTCAGGCTCAAACGCCCTCCAGGGTTTCCTGTAGAGGTGCCGGCGGTTCGGACCGGGCTGAACCGGGCCCTCGAGGCCCTCAGGGGGACTTCCACTCCCACTCATGGTCCAGACCTGACGGGCTCGGTTCACGGCGCAGCGACTCCGCCGGTTCTACAGCCGGGTTCTGGATGGGTCATAATTCCAACCCGACAGCAGGGTTCTGGTTCTGGTCGACGCCGCTGGGCCCTCAGGTCGTCGTCATGCTGCCGTTTCTCAACAGGCAGCGAACGTCTTCCTGGGAGGAAGTCAGTCAGAGGAAGAGCCAGCCTCAGCCAATCAGATGGCAGCAGGCTGTAAACCAGCAGGCTGCGGTTTCCTGTCTGAAGAACATCGTGTTTATGGCTCCGCACCCGGATCAGAACCGCTCAGGCTCTAAACCCAGTTCACTCCAGGGTCCAGAGTCTCCCTGGTTCTGGTCCACAAAGTCCGGAACCAATGAAGAGCAGGACTTCCACAGGAAACCACAACCCAGCGTGCTTCTACCTCAGCAGCGATGGTTTCGTCACACCACAACGTCTCCACTGATCTGCTGTGTGTGTGTGTGTGTGTATGTGTGTGTGTGTGTGTGTGTGTGTATGTGTGTGTGTGTGAGATTATTAATAAAACAGGAACCGAGAGCCGACACACATCTGATAACTTTCCTTATTTACACATGTATCCTCTCAGTCCCTCTGCTTCTCCAGAAGCTTTTCTTGAAATGAAAGTGGATTTAGAAACCGACTCCAGATCAGCTCAGCAGACCTCCTGACACCGAGGAGTTGACCGGAGAGATAAACCCCGGCTGGCCCAGAGGCGTTCCCAGGGTCTCCGTCCAAGAAGGTCTTCGTCCAACAGGGTCTCCGTCCAACAGGGTCTTCGTCCAACAGGGTCTTCGTCCAACAGGGTCTCCGTCCAACAGGGTCTTCGTCCAACAGGGTCTCCGTCCAACAGGGTCTTCGTCCAACAGGGTCTTCGTCCAACAGGGTCTCCGTCCAACAGGGTCTTCGTCCAACAGGGTCTCCGTCCAACAGGGTCTCCGTCCAACATGGTCTCTGTCCAGCAGGGTCTCTGTCCAGCAGGGTCTCTGTCCAACAGGGTCTCCGTCCAGCAGGGTCTCCGTCCAACAGGGTCTCCGTCCAACAGGGTCTCCGTCCAACAGGGTCTCTGTCCAACAGGGTCTCCGTCCAACAGGGTCTCTGTCCAACAGGGTCCTCCTGACCAGATCAACGTCCTGCTTCACTGTGGATCCAAAGGTCAACTGGACTAACTGGACCATCATTCCCTCTGGATGCCGACTCTCAACTCTTTGGTAGTTATTATGATGCGTAACCGAGGTAACAAGGTATTGCTTTTACAACTGGGTCCAGTTTCTATCAGCATCTCAGAAGCTTAAATAATTACTGACCTTTGACCCCAAGTTCCAGAGGAATTCAAAAGGACGCAGAGAGAGAAGGAGGAAGATGAACTCCTCAGAGCGAATCCCCAACTCCAGCATCTCTGTGCCTGAACTCTCTGCTTTCTAACAGCAGCGCAGAGTCTGAGCTGTTAGTCATGCAACAGTCTTCAGTCAGAGGCCTCTTCAAATTCACTACGATACTGACTGCTACGTGAGCCTTCCTGCCCACAGCATCACCATCCACAGCAACTCTTTGAACTCTTTCTGATTGGGATAAATAAATTCTTCACATCAACATCATGATGGTTTTTAAAGGTTGAACAGATGTTCTGAAATATTTGAGGAGAAGAAGGAGCTCTCCAGAGAACCAGACCTGGGTGTCCCAGTGTCCCTCCAGGTGACCCTCCAGGTGACCCAGGTGACCCTCCAGTTGTCCCAGTGTCCCTCCAGGTGTCCCAGTTGTCCCTCCAGTTGTCCCTCCAGGTGTCCCAGTTGTCCCTCCAGGTGTCCCAGTTGTCCCTCCAGGTGACCCAGTTGACCCTCCAGTTGTCCCAGTGTCCCTCCAGGTGACCCTCCAGGTGTCCCAGTTGTCCCTCCAGGTGACCCTCCAGTTGTCCCAGTGTCCCTCCAGGTGACCCTCCAGGTGACCCAGTTGACCCTCCAGGTGTCCCAGTTGTCCCTCCAGGTGTCCCAGTTGTCCCTCCAGGTGTCCCAGTTGTCCCTCCAGGTGACCCTCCAGTTGTCCCAGTGTCCCTCCAGGTGTCCCAGTTGTCCCTCCAGGTGACCCTCCAGGTGTCCCAGTTGTCCCTCCAGGTGACCCTCCAGGTGTCCCAGTTGTCCCTCCAGGTGTCTGTGGGGCTGGAACAGGTGGAGCTGTGAAACGCTCTCTGCTCAGACCCACATTCGGAGCTGATGGGATCAGGAAGCGGCGGGTGTCCTGGCCGGCGCCGCTGCATCTGGGTCAGCGCTAAGACCCGGTGAGGATAATCCCAAGAATCCGAACCAGAGCCAAGTCATCCAGGCGCCGCTGCCCAGGAGGAGCTCAGGGAGTCGGGAGGATCAGGATGTTTATCCGCTTCGTCCAACACCTGGAAAATCAGCTGATAAATGATTCATCGGAACGCCGGGAAGCAGAAGAAGTCGCCGTCACGTCCAACATCTTTTATTAATGCTCCACCCTAAAGACGGAGGCAGAACCTCCTCCAACCAGCAGCTCCAACTGGTTTCATCTGACGGGAACTGGAGCCACTGGGAACAGAAATCAGGCCCAGAGGAGGAGATTCACACCTGCAGCCTCACCTGGGAACGAACTGGGAACGAACTGGGAACAAACTGGGAACACTGCCCCTCCCCCACTCGCTGCTGCACACTGCCAGCCAGGTGGCTGAAAGGAGACTCAAACATCTTTGTCAGACTTCAGAAAAGTTCAGTTCAGCTTTTTGGAAACATTTTCCCACCTCCACAAACTAAGAGCGCCCCCTATGGCTCCAGTCAGACTAAATATTTCTACTAAAACTCTAAAGCTGTTTTATTTTTACTGCAGATCACGGATCAGAACCAGAAGACCCGGTTTTCTGGTTCTGATCCATTCAGCTGTTTTCCCCTGGAGTGTGAAAACGTCAGAAATATTCCCATGAACTTCATGATTTCTGCTGGTTTAAAGCCTGTGAATGTGAGCTGGCAGCAGGAAGAGCTGGACAGAAATGATGTCACTTCCTGGAAACGGAGTACAAACACCAGTGAGTCAGACTGGACCAGTAACTCCGTCTGAACTTCTGTCTTACTGGAAATATAAACCTCATGGGAACAGCAGCGAGTTCACCTGCTGGTTCAACTATAACTCCTGTTTATTCTGCAGGTTCTGGTTCCTGTTCTGACCCGACCCGACTCGACCCGCGCTCTGATTACATCAGCACCCAGACACCCCCAGGCCTGACCTACGACTGGAATCCCATCCCTTTCCTGGCCGGAAGCCAAACATTCCAGCCCGTAAAAATCACCGGGTCCCAGAACCGGGCCAAGAACCGGGTCGGAGAGGAAGGCAGGGGAGGGAAACCTGGCCGAGAGGAGGAAACATACCAAACATTCCAGACACAAAACCTGGACGACAGCAACTCAGAGGGAGGATCAACGTCCCGTTTCATCCAGACACAACAGGAAAACCCGACCCGGACCGCCGGGCCGGACCGACCCGGACCCGGACCGACCCAGACCCAGACCGACCCAGACCCAGACCGACCCGGACCGACCTGGACCGCCGGGCCGGACCGACCCGGACCGCCAACCCGGACCCGGACCGACCTGGACCGCCGGGCCGGACCGACCTGGACCGCCGGGCCGGACCGACCCGGACCGCCAACCCGGACCCGGACCGACCAGGACCCAGACCGACCTGGACCCAGACCGACCCAGACCGACCAGGACCCAGACCGACCCGGACCGACCCGGACCCGGACAGTGCTTAGCAAACACATTTCAGTCTAGAAAATGTGACAAACTGAAGCTGGGAAATGTTTTTGTTCAAACATAAAAACCGATGAATAAATCCTGACATTCAGGAACTCTTTAAATTCCTTCAAATATCTCTGATTTCACTTCTATTGGGTTTCCAGAACTTTCAGGTAAGAAAGAGTCAGAGCTGATTGTCAGCGCTAAGCCCCGCCTCCTGGCTCTGACGGGCGGTTTCTCCAGCTCAGACGATGCATCATAAACTGTAACGTCGTGGAAACGGATTGAACTGATGCACAAAAACAAGGTTAGTAAAAATTTGCTCTGCAGTTTTAACGCAGCCGGGTCCGGGACGGTTCTGATCCGGTCTCTGCAGCTCGATGAGGTAATGTTCCCGGTCCAGCAGCTGCCTCACCTCACAGTCACTTCCTGTTTTAGTCACTGTCTGATGATGTCATGGATTAGGTCATCAGGCTGGTGGAAACCCGGTTCTGGTTCTGGTTCTGATCTGAGGCCAGCAGGGAGGAAACTTCAGTAGGAAACTGGTTCGACTTTTAGGAACTTTTAGGATTTGAAGCTGGACCTGTTTCGGATCTGTTCGGGTCAAAGGTCAGAGGTCAGATCCAGAAGGAGGAAGCTGTCAGAGCAGAACGTAAAGAGGAACAAACCTGCTTCAGTTCCTCTGCAGAACACAGAGCAGGACCCTACAGTAATCACATTACTTCCTGTCCGGCCACCCTACAGTAATCACATTACTTCCTGTCCGGCCACCCTACAGTAATCACATTACTTCCTGTCCGGCCACCCTACAGTAATCACATTACTTCCTGTCCGCTCAGGAATGTAAACAAAAACTTGGATTCCTTCAATCAGCTGCATGGAGGAAACAGGAAAACTGCTGCTGGTTCTTCCACCCAGCAGAACCGACCCGGTTCTTCCACCCAGCAGAACCGACCCGGTTCTTCCACCCAGCAGAACCGACCCGGTTCTGTTCAGGGGACAAACAGGAAGTTGTCCTTCCTGACATGGTTTACAGATTCCTGAGGAAGCCGCTGCTCCTCTCGGCTGAAGAGATCTGGAACAAAACTTCCAGATCTCCAATATATAGGAATAATTCAACTGGAGCAAATGAAACTGCAGGTCAGTGAAAATAAATGACGACTCGGATGTTTCAAAGTCATTAAAGCAGAACTTTCAGCTCTTCAAAGCTGATTTGAAGTTGCATCGTTTTCAGAGAATAAATGATCTCCAAATGTGATTTTGACTTGTCATAATAATCACATCATGTTTGTGCAGCAGCAGGAAGTTCTGACCTAAATAAATGTCATCATTGCTGCTCAGTTTCTGTCTCTAAACTGGTTTTTATTATCACATGAAGATGATTTGATGCTCAAACTGCCTGCCGTAGCCTGCTGGTTTAAAAACAGGACGTTGATCCGATACCAGAACCGGGACCAGACCTGATCCCAGGAACCAGAACCAGAAGTCCAGCAGTGTTCTGGACGGTTCTGTTCTGCAGAGGCGGTCCGGTTGGGTTTTTCCACTCCGGGTCCAGAAA